CCGGGAAGGGCGGCCGCCTGCCTGGGTGAGATGCGGCAGCGGGTCGGAGTTTTCCTGCCCGGGACGGTGACGGGCGCGGGGAACGAACTCTGCTGAAAAGCCCTGCTCCGGCATCGTTCCCGTGAGCGCGGCTGGGCTGCGGTCTACGCGTTTTCCCAAAGTCCTTAAGCAGGGTGTCCCGCACAGTCTTCTCCCGCCTTTGGTGGTTGGTCCTCTCCTGTGCAAACCATGGTTAGGCGCCCCTTCACTGTGGCACAAGGAGATGGCCGCAAAGGCCAGGGAGGACCCCGATGTCTGCGCGTCCCCCCAAAGAAGATGCTCACACCTGGGCTCCATGTGCGACTTTGGCGTTTCCCCCTTGTCCCACAACCTCCCTCAAGGTCTTGGACTTGGGCTGAGAGAGCCACCGCTATAACTGCCTCTTCACATCCTTCCACTACTCAGGCGTGGGCAAACACAAGAGAGCCCTTAGAAGGAAATAAAACATTACAGTATCATGTATAATGCTGAAGAGGGCAGAGATACTGCTGCAACACTTCTTGCACTGGCTATCTAGATACATCCAGTTGTCTTGATACCTTAGGAATTCTTAGGTGTCTATAGCTAAATAAATAAACATAATCAGGCAAAAAGTTACTTTGATCAAACACACGCAATCATTGATGAGTAAGGACTGTGCTGAGGAGACAGCTGAGTTATTTTCTGTGGAATAGGGAAAGTACACTGCAGACAGATGGGCTAGAGAAAGAGTAATCCTAGAACACTTCTTAAGGCTGAAAATATTCCCAAAGTGTTCTTAATCCAATCACAAGCCTCCCAAAGCCCGCTTCCCTCCCATCCCCAAAAGCAACCAGCTATGGGCGATGGACACAGTCCACCTGTTAAATCTCAGAGCTATCAGAAAAGTCTTGTAGTCCCCACTATCCTTTGTAAAATATTTGGTTCCCATCACACCATGAGGAAATCCGCAGGGCCCTACATCCATTCTGTACATCAAAAGATTAAGCTGCTGTATGAGATCAGGATTCCAAGCAGAGATTGTAAAGTCTATAGTTTAAAGCGTAGCAGCAAATAACTTTTATAACATCCATTAATCTCTTTGAAGCGTATTCATGTATCCATTTCTCTGGAAGAAAGTGGTACATGCAATTGCTAAAAGCCTGTAGCTCCAAAACTGCCGTCTCCACAGATTCATCCTATATGGGCTATTAATAGTTCCATTAGTCTTCTCTTGAGGAGTTCTAGTAACAATACCATAGTCCGAGGATTTTTTACATACAGCCCTAAGCAAATAATCTTCACACAGGAGCAATGTTCCTAAACTGACTCTTTGAAAGCTGTTCTGAACAAGAAGTGTCTTGGCACTTGCACTGTGCTCAGCACAACAGAGTTTGGGTCTTTCTAGGGATGTCTGTCTACAGATTCACCATCATAACAACAATTAGCAACAGAGATCCAAATGACTATGGGTCTTCCATTTATTTGAAATGGTCTTGATTCCCTCCTTAACCAAAAGTTTTTCAGTTATAAACCAGTATGATATTCCTGATGGCAGCTCTGGGGATACAAACCTGGCCAGACTGATCCAAAAGCTTGTTCTTACGTCATTTATATCCAGAGTACCTTAGCACAGGTGAGCAACACAACATCCAGAAGCCAGAAAGCTCCACTTCCTCAAGTGGCTGGTGGAAGCTGAGAAGCCAGAAACAGCTCTGGGTTTTGTTCCAGATTCCTTCCCAAAAGAGATGGGGTAACTGTTCCTTCTACTGTTCCAGTCCACCCTCTGACAGTATGGATTATTGCTCCATCCAGTGCAAACACCAGTGAATATAACTGTGTAGTTCATTGAAGAGAATACTGCGAAATTACTGGAGTAGAGGTGAGCTGTTTTCCACCAGCTTTGCTCTAAGATTTAAGCTTTGGTCTATCAACAGAAGTGTTAATTGTTAGTGCTTTTGTGTTTTGTTTTTTTTTCTGGAAGCATTCATAATAGAGTAGGAAATTCATAAACATTAAAAAAGGCCTGGTTTCCACTCTCCATGAGCCTACAAACTTAGGAAATTTCCAAAGAAGTTAGAGGAACTTCTACAAGATTAAGAAGAAGAGAATGAAAAATGAGATGGAGATTTTGCTACCTAACCCCGAACACTTACAAAGAGGCTGTTTGTTATTCTGTAGTCAGTGTGATGGCTTGTAGGGGGTTAATTGGCCTCTGTTCCCAGAGGGGATCTTTTTAAATTGTGTAGTCTAACAGCAGCAATAATATTTTGCATCAGAACACAGAACTCCAGGTTGCAGCAAAGTATCTTTTAGAAAGACAGAAAATTACATGTTAAATAGGCCTTTGAGATTAGAAATAGCAACAAGGCACCCCCTTCCCTTGCTCACTTCATCTACCTCCTTTCTCCAAAGCCTGTGGATGCAGAAGAACCGCACCCTGTAACTCAACAGGGTCATGCTGTGCCCTGTCACGGGGACATGTTACCTATAGATAGCAACCTAACATAACCCATACTAACTATAAATAATTCGCACCTGTAGAAACCTAGGAGCTCAGATGGTCTCATGAGGAGAGAACATTTGGGTTTTTTTTTTCCAAACTGCTACATTTCCTTCAAGATCTGGAATGCAGCCTGTGCGGATGGCAGGTTGTCACCGACTTTGCAAGTGCCTGCTCACCATGTACGGAAGCACACAAAGAGTTTGGGTGCCCCTCCGTTTTCCTCAAGGGGCGTCCTGTTTTCTCCACCCTAGTTCTCATAGAGAGCAAGCTGCTTGAAAGAGATAGATAAGGCAAGTTTAAGCCCCTAGCTCAGGAGGAGCAGCAATGGTTTGACTTTGAAAGAGGTCTCTGGCCAGGGATGGGAGAGCAGATGGTAAAAATCAGAAGAATTTTGCTGCCCGTTTCCTCAGTTCTTCAAGGACCTCACTGCTCTGCGCTGCCTCACAGAGCTCCTTAGAGGAACAGCCTTGGCCTACCAGTGCTGGAGGCTATCTTGTCTACAAGGGCCGTATATTGGTTGGCTATTTCACTTTTGTAGCCAACCAGAGCAGCCAAAGGTATTTACATCGTCAAGAGCTACAGTGGGTACTCGAGGAGCTGGGAACCTTGATGCTCTCTTTCTAGAAAACCAGTCCTCCCAGGAGAAGTACATTTTGCAAATATTGTCTATATTTGTGCGAAAAGTTAATTTTTGTTTTCCCTAGTGCCTCGGGTCACTGGGGATACAAGAGAGAGGAGGAGAAGAGCAGGCACGGGAACCTTGAGTGCACCCATCAGACGGGCCAGGGCGAATCGCCACTCTTCCACTCATTTCTTTTCATCCACCTGGTGGAACCAAGAGCGGCTGCTGCTTCGTAATCGGCAATCTGCAGATGGCTGGGAGAAGGCTTTAGGGAAGCATGACTGCAACTGACAAACAAGACCCAGAAAAGAACATTAAGGCTCAGTCTCAGGCCTTGTCTGCACCGGGGAATTTTCTTCCCTCCTCCAAATTCCCACCATTGCTAATATGAATGCAGCTGCACGATTGTTAGGGATGTTGGGAGTCATAATATATGAGTTTTCATCTCGTCAGCCATTTGCAGCACTGTGTCAATTAACCCTCCTCAGAGCAGGGTTAACTGATACAGTGCTGAAAACGGCTGCTGGAGCCGAAAGCTGTCTATACTAAGGCTCCCATTGTTGCTAACCCTGGTGCAGCTGCAGTGGAATCAGCCCATGTGGGATTATTTTGGTAACAATTCTCCAACCTAAAAACAGCCTAAAAATGCAACATAGCCACCTCATAGGCCAAAACACGCTTCCGCTGCACCTCAACAGCTA